TATAATGGTATGGCATGGTATGGTATAATTTTAAGGTAAATGGTATGGCGTGGTATAATATAATGGTATGGTTTATGGTATAATGGTACTATGGTATAATGGCATGGTATGGTATAATTTAAGATATGATATAATAGTATGKTATGGTATAATGGCATGGTATCTTATAATGGTATGGTGTGGTATAACGGTATGGTATTATGGTATGGTTAATGGTATAGTATAATGGTACGGTATAATGGTATTATATGGTATAATGGTATGATATGGTATAATGTTATGGTTAATGGCATGGTTAATGGTATGGTTAATGGTATGGTATAATGGTATGGTATACTATATTGGCATGGTATAATATTGTAGATAAACATGATGTACAATGCAAATTGCCAGAAAATTCTTTGGGTAGCCATTTCCTTTTCTTTATTATGGCAAGGTAGAACATTAATTAGCTCTAATCTGTCATTTGCACTGTCTTCTCACTTTTCTTATCGATTGTGTACTCTTGCTTGATGACTAGAATCATCACAAGCGTGCAATATCTAGGGATACATGGAATCTCTTACTCGACTTCAGTAATATGATAGAAGATGATATGTCAAATTACGATGAGGAAGGTCAGTCATTATGCTACATTCCTTTTATAAAGTACTAGATTCTGTTTTAATAATAATGAACACAGCTGACAGAATAGCGCAGCGCACTGATTCTAAAAATAGCTTAAAGATTCGGACAAACATTGCATTCTGTTTAACCRCTACAAGGATTATACGRASCGATTTTATTATTTTTACTTAAAGTTACAATAATAACTCATGTAMACTAAGATCAACTGCGATCGGCTGTGAAAATTATCTGCTGAAAGTAAACTTGTWAGTTTGTTTGTCCAAATTTCGCCTTTGTCTTCGTTTTTRTGACGTCACGGTTGYGCTGCTCTATTTACTCTGCTGACACACTAACCTGGACTACTTGAAGAAAGTAAAACAATCATATAACATAGAGTGAAAACMAAGGAATCAAACTTCAGGCAAACTTGAACCAATCAAGAGCAAGCAACAAAGCCTAGATATCTGGAAAAAACTGAGWTATCATCAACGACTCACTGGAAATTAGAGTTTGTGATTGGTTGAGGTCAAATAAATAAATAAATAAACTTTGTTTATAGAGGATGACATTTGACAGTGTTGTAATTCAACTGATAAACATGGGTTCTCTTTTACAGTGCAATGTTCAAAAGTATGACCACATTTAATGTACTTCCATGCATGGGCTTTCGCACATTAAACCAMCACTATTCCATGAGAAGCTGGATGGTTTTACCACAAAAAATAGAGTGTGTAAAAGCTTGTTTGGTAGCCACAAAGCCTGTGCATAGAAGATGATGTGGTCATTTGAGCTCAGCTGAGCTGTGTGAAGGTCTAATCATTGATTATTGAATGGTGTAATTACAAAGGCAGCACCTTATCTCAAGTTATCTTAAGACCCTGAGTGTTGGTCTGGCTGAGGCTTGAACCCCGACCTCCTTCACAGCAGATCGGCATTCTTTCCAATTTAGCTAAATGGGTGTCAGCTGATCTGAGAAAAAATATTAGCCAATCAGAATCAAGAAAATTTGTAAAACTTGAGGTGTCACTTTTCCTCTTGAAATTATGGATTTCCAGGCCACCAAATAAAAAAACACTTCTAATATGAGGTGGATAACCTTGACACAATAACTAATGAGTYATATATCATATAGAGGATATTACATGGGCGCGCAGAGATAGGAAGATTATCTTCGAGTGYTGAAAAGATCTCTCACGAGTGAGCTTAGCGAAMGAGTGAGAGATTTTCAACACGAGAAGATAAATTGTGTATCTCCAAGCGCCCGTGTAATATTCTGTTTATTATATAATTATCAATGAAGTATGTGTTGGCTTTTTCAGGCAATTCGTTCCGTGTATTTTTGATTAGYCATCGCAATGGTGTTATTTTCACGTGTGAAAATATCAATTTTTCGAAATAGAGAAAAATAGATATTTCATTGGTAATTATRTAATAAATTTTTTTATTGCAATGGTGGACAGGCTTTATTTTTTGCCAGTCAATTTTTTTTCTATTTTCACAGGCTTCATGACAACTCAGTTTTGCAGTGACGTCATTTCTAYGCCACCATTCCAGATCAGCTGGTGGTGTTTTTGATTTTGATTGTTCTGACTGATATTGCTTTCTCCTGATTGGCTAAAGCTTTTTATCTTAAATTTGTTAAAGTGGTCCTGGTTAGCGTGTYCGCTCTGCAACCCTTTAATTTCTATGATGCCCTAAACTGCCCATAAAAAAAAACACTTCTTTATCTTGTCACCATGCATCTCAGTTCTGTTTCCATTGTTTTCTAGGAGCTTGGCCTGTTCTAATAGATGAATTTGTAGAATTTGCAAAACCAAGACTGACTCCTGGCAAACAGACAACCGTATAACACCAAAGCAAATTCCTTTTATCCAAATAAACCCAGTTTACAGACTGTTAAATTTAACATTTTTTAATAAACTTTGTCTACACGATCCTTGAATATGAGCTGTACTTATAACATTTTTGAGGATCTCCAAATATTTGCAGTTATGGGAAAATTCAATTTGTATGGATCAAGACAAAGAGTTCCAATATATTTGTGGTAAMTATATGGGTAGGTGAGGTAGTAGTTTCCATGTTAGCTGCTGTACAGTTGTGTAGATAAAGTAAACTTTCTACTACAGACGTTTTTCTTTGTATATAAATAGAGGATATTACATGGGCGCACGGAGATATGAATTTTTTCTTCGAGTGTTGAAAAGATCTCTCACGAGAGAGCTTAGCGAACGAGTGAGAGATTTTCAACACAAGAAGATAAAATTCGTATCTCCAAGGGGCCATGTAATGTTCTGTTTATTATATAATTATCAATGAAGTATGTTTTGGCTTCTTCAGGCAATTCTTTCCGTGTATTTTTGAATAGCCATCGCAATGGTGTTATCTTCATACGTGAAAATAACGTTATTTTCAATAACATGTTATTTTCACGTGTGAAGATATCAATTTTTCGAAATAGAGAAAAATAGATATTTCATTGGTAATTATATAATAAAAACCTTTATGGTCTATCAGGAATCMGGCGCTCTGATTGGCCAATCTATTAGTTGTCTATTAGYRATAGACCACTAGTAGCAAAAAGTGCTAAAGAAGAAAAAGAAAGCAATCATTTCCACAGCTGTGTTTCTGCAGAAAATATYCATAACACTCATCCAACAGTGTTTGTGTTTTTTTTATCCTGCCACACCTCTTCGAGTTTTGCAATGGAAAATATTCTAAAACAATATTAATGTATTCTTGCTCAGACCCTACCAACATCTTGAAAATTCCAATCCTCCTTTGGAAAAGAGGTATGGATATTTTAGGCATTATTTTCTGGAATCATGCACTCACTAGACCTTTCCTGAATTCTTTCCTGAATTCGCTTGGATGACCACAAAACAATGGTTTGAAGTGAAGACTGAATTTAATTCTTTAATTCATCAAGTCCAACTTCCACTTGAAACCATTTTTTTTGTGATCAGTCAAGCAAGTTAGGAAAAGCTCTATTGCTAAATCATGTTGGGATCAAAACATAGAACATAAAAGCTGAGACCAAAATAGTACATAGAAAGTATGTTAATTAGGTGTTATCTAGTGAAACAACCCATGTGAACCCTTGGAATGTTCATAAATTGTTGCACTCACACAAAGCATCAAGGCTTTTAAAACATCAACTATGTGTCTCAAATAAGTACGTTTGAGAATAATTATCATTTTCTGACGGAATACCTTTCAGCCTCCGCTTTTCTGTTTTGAACCAGACAAAGATTTTGCAGATGCAACATCATATTTTCCATACTTACCTGAGCCATAATCATCACAATAAAAAATAAATAAAAACCAATCGATTGAATAAAACACTGTTTATTATGGTGTATCATAAAATAACTGTTCTAAATCTTGCATTCTGATTGGTTGCGAGTGCGTGCTTTATGAGAGCACACACACGCTCGTGTACTTTCAGTTTTGTCATTCATGTAATTGGCATTTTATAAAAGAAATAAAAAACTTGCTTGCTGTGCTGTGCTGTGCTGTGTGCAGTTATAAAGCACTTGTGGATTCAGCAGATTACTCGAGAAGTGTCAAGAAGCACTCCGCTATGCGTCATGCTTCTCCTAACACTTCTCTTGTGTTCTGCCAACCCCCACGTGTTTTATGACTGCACACACGGTATGTGCGCACGTTTTCTACTTCTTCAATAAAAATCCTGAAAGAGGAACAAATTGAGTTCTCATGACTGACTCTTAGTTCACTTTGTTTGCTCAAGATGCTGTGAGTATCAGACAGGTCGGCTTACAGCAAGTCTAGTCAATGTCCATGTATAATAATTTGTTTCACATTTTTATTTCACTAAAGGTACATTTCAAAATGTCCTATAATAAATAACATTAATTTATAGTAAAAAAAATGATTTTTAACACTTCTTGCCTATGGAATGTGGCATGGCAAAATCTTCTTGGAAAAAAAATTCATTCAACTTTTAATATAGAATTCATTCAGGAAGTCTTGGAAATGAAATGCCTTGCTTATATTTTTGCTAGAGATTAATGATAAAAGAGAAATAACACTCAAGGGAAAACAAACTACATTGCAGGAAATATGAGACAAATCAAGGCTTAAAATTATGGCCAGTCAGTCGAACGACATGATGACCAGCCAATTTTCTTTTATTTCTGCCATACCTAGTTTCTGCCTCAAAGTTACAAAGTTTCGATTCTGGCTAGACATTTCCCTAGTATTAGAGGCCATTATTTYAAGCCCTGCWTGTGAGGCATGATGACCATAAATGAAATAAGTTCGTAATGCCTCTATCTGGAAAAAAAGTTGCATAGTGATTTCGGATTGGTTGTGAGCGTGTGCTTTATAAGAGCACACAGCACAGGTGAGTTGCATCATTACCATCAAGAATAACGGTACCAGTTAATGTAATATTATTTGTATTTTATAAAAGAAAAAAACCTGCTTTGCTGTATGGAGTTAAAAAGCAGTTGGGGATTGGCAGAACACTCTTGAGAAGTGTCAAGAAGCACTTGGCTACAGGTTGTGCCAAGGGTTCTGCCAACCCTTGTGTGCTATATAACTGCACACAGCATGCATGCGTGCATGTTTTCTATTCCTTTATGATTAATCAATTTTTCTCAAATATCATCAACATATTTAAACAATTCTTATCTTTTCCTGAGATAAAAAAGTTTAACAAATGTGTTGTATATTTCAATTTCAAGTCCATGCTATGYTGTCTGTGATTTAGTCATCTTCCAATCCTCTGGACAACCCATTCTTGCTGACACAGTGGACACCTATTGTTCTGAACTATCCATAGAGACATACAGCAGTTGTGAAACGAATGGTTACATTCTCCCCAGACAACTGAAAAAAAGACAACATTAAACAGGTAGTAAGAATGTTTAATATAATCATGATAATCATAAATCAAAAAGTATAAAGTGATCTTAGCCCATAAAAAAGTAGTATACATGAGAAATTATATAACTTAGCACACACTATTTCAATTTTTTTCAGTTGCTTTATCTTAGACCTAGACACTAATATATATATTTATAATACACTCAACAAAATTACTCTATTCTGATTGGACAAGAGGAGACCTATTACAGTGCGAATTGAAAAACCATTGGCACCTAGAAATATTTCAAAAATGTTTAATAGCCAATCAGAAGCATTATAGTTATCTTTCTGTTATTTTGTGGTTAGAAAGTCAATTATTCTGGAATGGTACTCGAGATCATGTGATTTCCTATRCAAATTCAACAGAGATAATTATTGTATTGATGAAACTTTTTTAGAATTTATTTTTTAATGAGCTTTCGGACATGTTATTCATCATCAGGGCTGGGAATTACAATAAAATTGTTTCACAGGCYGGGGCCATATCTGCACAGGCCAAATAAATTACTCTACTGGCTTTAATTTCTGTTCATGCGCATCGTTTGCACACAAAATCTATCATTTTGTTTTTTTTTCCTCAACAAAGAATGTTATTTTCGATGCTTCCTGTTCAAAAATCTTAGAAAATAATCATTTTAAAAACTGATTATTGAAAACTGTATTATCATACAACACACTCAATTTCCAGTGCATTACAACCATTTCTCTAGTGCAATATTACAGAGCGACAACACACAGTCTATGAAAGAGTTTTGAACACTGTTTTTGCAAATAACAGCATAAGGACATTTCCTTCTCCTTTGTRCAGTTCACATCAGTAATTTGAGCTTGTGACTTTCAAGTTTGCTTGTTTACAATAAAAAGGGTTGTTTTTCTGCACTTTTTCTAAGTTTTTCGTGTCGTATAATAAACATTACACTGCTATAGCTTTGTATTACAGCTGGATAATTTTAAAATGTGGCCGCTTTCACTYGTACACTCGCTTTCACTAATACATTCTTATCCATTTTTACCTATAATGCAYAATTTTTTTACCAGAATTATGTTTAGTTTTTTCAGAAGGAAATTTTCTCCATCTTTGTGCAGTTCACATCACTGATTTGAGTTTGTTTGCTTGTTTACAATAAAAAGGGTTGTTTTTCTGCACTTTTCCTAAGTTTTTCGTGTCGTACAATAAACAAATTATTACACTGCTATAGCTTAGTATTACAGCCGGATAATTTTAAAATGTGGCCATTTTCACTTGTAAAATTATGCGTTTGTAATAATAACCTCTATTTAATACATTCTTATCCATTTTTTACCTATAATTCGTAAWTTTTTTTACCAGAATTATTTTTAGTTTTTGCCTTTAATAATTACATCAAATCCTATTTTTCYTTTCTACCTATAATCATCAATATTTCATATTGATTGCCCAGACTAAATCCTGTAGGGGCTTGAAAGCATTCCAATGAAATAAGGTCAAAAAATATACCAACAATTTATATTAAATTATTGTCCACTTCACAGTTCCATGCTCCATCTTGAAAGGTAGCTGTGCCTTTGCATCAAAGCAAGATGAACGGCGAGCTTGCAATTATAGAGACATGCGAATAATATTGTCCAAGGTGTTTAAAAAATGTCTTTGTCATTGAAAGCTCAACCTTCATCTCACTTTGATGCAAAGGCATAGCTACCTTTCAAGATGGCTAGGGAACTGTGAAGGGGACTATTGGTCGATCTAACAGGGAGCTGTGAAGGGCACTATTGGTTGATCTAACAAAAGAAAAKATACTGATATATTTATGTTCAACCAAAGTGGTAACTTCAAAATACAATAATGGKAATGCTTAATAATCACTCAGTTACTACCTTTGAAAAAGAAATGTCTTATATAACCCAACCCAGACARCCAGCCACTAGTCCAGATGTCTAAGGTTTTGGCTTCTGTCAATCAAATGATTGACAGATGTACCCTGGCATTCGGAGCTTATAAAATAGGCATTTTTGAAGTCAAACTGTTGGCTTTWGATCTTACTTGGTGTTAATGATCCAAGTTTGTGTAATCCTTTTATAAGTTAATAAAATAGCAAATAAATTTTTTCGATTATAATCAGATRCTATCATATTCAATTAAAAACTGGAGTTATTATAAAGATATCTTACCAACGCATTCTTCTTGTTTATTGTCTGACTGACATCTCAAGCAAGCATCTGGGAATACGAAAAAAAGAACGTTTTTAACTCATATTTTACAATTTTTGTTTAAACAGAAGGTTTTTTCTTAAGGCAAAGATGATCAGAATACATTGTTCTGCTTTTCTAGCCTTTATTATAAACCCAAACAACTCATAACATCACACACACTTCTTTCATGGAATATTTGAGAACGAACTTACCCATAACTTGAACTCTACAAATAGCACAAGTATCGCATTCTACATCCCACGACCACATTGCTATGGCATTCCATTTCTTCAAAGAAAACATTTTTTGCTGTTCCTTGTCTTTTGGAGGAGGATAACTAACGTCTTCCATAACTGTGTCTTGGATCTCCTTCTTCTCGGTGTCAGCCATCTTGGATTCCCCAGCTTGCATTGCAGGCTGATATATGTAGAAGCGAGGGGACCGGGGATGTATCCGGACTTACCAAGGGCGCTAGGACAGACGAAATGGGTCAGAAATGTACGGTGGCTGGCCAACCACATACAAAAAAACTTGCCTTTTATCGCGCGATAAAGCCTCTCTGATTATCGCGCGATAAAGCAACTTATTGCGCGATAACAAAACTTAGTCACTATCGCGCGATAAATATCAACTTATCGCGCGATAACACTTTACTAGTGTTCAGGCTCCTACGGTCATTACGCACATGGACAAGATGGCGAGCGAAGTTGAGAAGGTGAGTTAAACGTATGTAACAAATTGATGTCTTTATCCTTCAAAGGTAGGGTTTTCTTAGAAAAAAAAATTAATAAGTTTTAATAAGTATTTGATTCATTTAAAAGCCATTTCACTTTAACAAACAGTGTTTTTGAGAGGGGAACTGGGGAGGAGACTGATATTCAGGCCATTCTTGTACCCAGAACTTCTGATATAATAGATACAATCCTAAGCTCTGGACCACCCTGTTGGTATATCAAATTTAATTGGCTGATAGGCACAGCAATAGCAATAGCAAAATTTCTAATGGATGTCAAATTCCTGAAAT